CTTTTCAGGAGTGATTCATTGTGTTTCTGGGTTAGCCCCTCTGTTTAGGAGAGTGTGGTGGTGTAATCTTTAGCTACACTACCAAGCAACAGACAGGTGAATTCTTATATTCTGAAACACACAGCAGAAAATACCTTGCTTGTTGTAAATCTACTTTCTGTATACATACATGAGTAATGGCTCTTTTGTACAGCGGTGTGCAGCACCCGGAACAGGAAAAAGGAGAGAACTGTAACTTCAATTGATATCATTAGAAGACTTTTGCACTCTTTTTTTGGTGAAACAAGATTGCTGTAGCATTACTGGCCATTCTGTTTTCCTGTCCCAGTGGTGCCAAAAGGAGTCTCTGAACCATGTGATTCTCTATTGCATGCCCTCTGCCTCTTCTCCCTGCCCCTCTTCCATCATGTTTCTTATTTGCATTTGGAAATGTTTTCTTTAAGTTTCATAAAGCTAGCAAGAGTGGAAGTCATGTATTTGTGTTGTTTGATTTTTATGATGGTGCCCATTCATCAGCATTTCTTATGAACCAGAAGAGCTCTGCAGTTAATCCCAGTTCCACATGAAGCATGGCCTGGATGTTAATAACATATAAAGGGAGAGCAGTGACTGTCAGGCCCAGTGGAGTTCTGGAATTGCCTGCTGGCTTCAAACTCCTCCCAAAAGGGAGTGGAACTTCAGTGCCGTCAGTTTTTTTTCTGTGTGTGTACGAATGTCTTTGAGTCAAGTACCTTATTTGTGTTGGAAAGTTAATACATCTTTAGAAATGCACAAAATTACATGAGCCAACCATTTGAAATATAGTTAATACCAAGGTAGTGTTAACTCCAGTTTTGTAGCAGTACTTGTTGAAAGAGTCTGGGCCAATGATGTTTTCTGTGTGGTCACATACAGAACATTAGTAAAACTTTATCCATAATAAAGTCTTGGAAAACATTGCGAACCGATGTCTGACCCTCCAAATGATGCAATAACTGTATCGTACTTGAACTGCAGGATACCACAAATTTCTGTAGAGGCAAACAACACCCAGCAGCTGATAGAAATCTTCTAATATTTCATGTAGCGTCAATTATGTAAGTGCCACCAAATGCAAAGTTAATGTGCTTTTGTATGCAAAACCCTTAATTCAGGTAATGGAACTACACATCTTTCTTACAAAATAATCAAAACAATCCAGTCAATGAAGCGCTGCATTTGTTAATTAAGAAATGCTTGTGTGATTCTCTTACAATTAGTGCCTTCTAATGCCTTTTAATACTATGGTTTCATCTCCAAACATGGAGTTTTTCTGTTCTGGAACACAGAGTAACAACAAATTCTTTCATCTATTGCTGTTATTTAGATCTGTTTTGTAGGAAATAAATCAAGATTGAGTTGACGGTTTTGCATGTACCGTGAAACAGTGTGTTTTGTAAATTTGCTCTAAGATGTTACTCCGAGAAAGTGTTTTCTAACTGCATAAATCAAAGTTTTCATAGTGTTAGTTGTACTCCATATGCACTAACGTGTTACCATAATTAAAAGTATAGTGCAGTACCTGAAAATCCACATAATGCGATAATTTATCTAGTGGGAGTATGTTTGGAGCACAATATAAGTTAATGTTAAATGGAAACAGCTGCAAATGTGATGCAAAGTAATGTTACACAGTAATTTGCTTTATTATTAAGCTATTTCTTGTATTCAGCAAAAAGCTGAATCAGCATTTAATAATAAAAAAAGCTGGGGATGTTAGTGGTATTTTAGCCAGCATGATACTACTTCAGTTTTGAGGCAGCTATGTTTTCATTTAAAAAAAAAAAAGTTTCTGTCTATTGGTTTATGAAGAGTATTGCATGTGAAGCAGTATGCTGGTGTCCCTGCAGTGTGTGAACAAGGTCCTCTGAAAATAGGTGGCAAGACAGACCACTTCTCTCAGACTTATCTTATGCAATAAAAACTGGTGTAGAGCTGTGATAGTTCTACCATCACTAGGTGGATTTGTGGGGAGAAGACAGTGGCTGAATAACTCCATTTGGGCTGATGGTGACTGGGAGGGATTCAGAGAAGGTTTAGAGAGCTGTGCAAGTTGCATGAATGGGGCTGGACAAACAGAATTCATGCATCTTAAATAAAAAGAAAGTTTTTCAAGTGCTTTGCCTGTTTACACTCCTAATACTAAACAACTTTGAGGGTGAGTTGTGTCACTGCTCTCAGTTGTGCAGGTCTTACTTCAGTTACAGTTAAAAACTTCAGAAACTGAGCAATGACTAATACAAAAAAAGGTTAACACATTCACAAAGCAGCTGGACACAGCAACACCTCTGAGGAACTGTGCTCAGTTGAGCCCTCAGGAGTTGGGATGTGTCAGAATTCAGCTGCACAGACAGAACTAACTTCACCTTTGAGCACCTGTGAGGCATAGTGATGTGTTAGAGCCACGTGTTACCCCCACTTGCTACCCCACCCTCCTCTGGGGTGTGCAGGAGACTGCTATATGTTAGAGCATAGCTCTGGATCTGTGGAGAGAGAGCAGGTAGAGGCACTGCAGGAAGAGAGAATGGTTGAGTTCTGTGGGAACTGGAGCAACCCAACTTCCTTTCTCTCTGCACAGTCCATGTGGAAGGCGTGGCAGATCACTTAGGAGACAGTTCATAGGTGGCTGTTAGCTCCTGGTCTTAATTTCGTGAAGGCCTGATCCAAGCTTTGGGCATTTGGACTTTTGCAGCTGCAACTGTAAGAACTTCAGTGATATGCTTTGGAAATGCACCTGTCTATAGAAAATCAAATGCTCTGAAAAATGGATCCTTTGATATTTCAAATTGGGCAGCTGGATTTAGTAGACTTGCTATTTCAATCCTTGTGTTTTGGTTTCCATCAGTTTCAGGGGAAGAATTGTACCACTTTGAAGTACTGTAAAAGTTAATCCAGTATTTATGCCACACTGAAGTCTTTCTGCTTTTTTCTTGAAAGCACTTTCTATCAGAAAAACTGTTGTTAATGCAAGTTTTTTAAAAGTGTGTGATTAATAAAGACTCAGGCAGACCAGTGATTATAACATTTAATGATTATAGCAGTTAGTTGTTTCTTTGCTGAATGGTGCTCTGAGCAAATAGTTGTGTAAGACTACATTTCCTACAGATTCAGATCTTTGGTTGATCTGTATTTTAATATCAACAATGTTTTAAGTTTTCAGTTTTTGTTCTTGGAAGATTTAGCATAATGGAGGAGACATTTACAAGCTTGATTGGAGGCAGGAATGTCACTCGCCTGTATGGAACCGGCATTTCATGTCGCTGTTTGCAGCTTGTGCATGCCAATCTCAGATTGATACTCAAAGCTCAGGGTGATGTTAGCAACATGGAACATACATGCAATTTCTAACCATGCAGAAATTTCACCTCATATAACTCCTTTCTTTGTGAGTCCGTAATCTCAGTTTTCTAATGAGATAAGATAATACTCCATTAATTCAAAAGGGTGGTGAAAACTGAAGAGTTTGTATATACATACAGTTGGTATGTGTTGTAAAACAAACAGAAGAATTTTATTTCAGTGTAGGTTGAATCTGCCAAGTATTCAGATCAAACAGTTAAAACTTTGGATTTGACATTAAGCATCATGCTAGAGGTCTCTTGACTGTTTCAGGTTTGAATGTGGCAGCAGAGTATCTCAAGCCTCATGATCTCTTTGGTTCCTATACCTTTCCCATAACATCACCCGAACATCTAGTTTGAACTTACTCCTATTGTCATTCTGTATTTATTATTCTTGTGGTTACCTGTACCTTCATCTTTGCGTAGCGTTGTTATAATAACTTCTATGCAATGAAGTAGGACTGTTTTGAATTCAGTACAAAACATGGGCAAGTTCCGTAGCTTTACTGGTGAACAGTATGTATAAAACAAGGCTTCAATTTTGAGCTGTTTAAAAACTTTTATTTACGTTACTGACACTTGTTAAGCTGATGAGTAAGGTCTGTCCTGAGTTAAAATTGCAGGGCATCATCATCAAAATGCCTTTATCTTTAATATGCCTTTCTATCTTTGTGTAACTTCTCTTAATCCGTAGGTCTCAGAACTGTAATTCAGAGGTGCTTGCAGGTGCTTGCATTATTTCTGCCACTGGAAGTCATTCTTACTTGGAATTCAATTTTTAAGTATGCATATAACCCACAGGAGCCTCCAAAGTGTTTGGCAAAACATATATGTGTATGAATGTTTCCAGACTTGTTCAAGATGTAGTGTGGATATTAGAGGGAGGCTGGATTTGTTTCGTGAAACTTGTATTTTTTTGGTCTTAAAATGTGATTTTTATTACATTTAGCGTATAATTTACCTAAACACTGGAATTCTTGTTTTTACTACCTATTTCTTACCCTGCAGTGAAATTCATGAATATGTTTTGTGTTTTTTTTTTTTTTAATCCTGATTGCTTTATTGGGAACTTCTAGGAGACTTTATCTTAATTTTGTATCCACTTGTAATTGGAGACCTGGGAGAATCTCTTTAAGCTTTATTACAATCAAACAGGAAATCTGGACGTGGGAAACTATTTTCTCCCTTTTGCAGCAGAGTATGAGGTAGAGAGTTCATCATTCTCAAAGGCATCTCTACTCAAACTACGAGTAGTGGTGGTGTTGCCCGTTTCTGTGAGATTTATTGGTGCAAGTCTGTTACAGATTTTTTAACTCATGAGGACATTTCAATGGTATACATTGTTTTCATTTATTACTACATGCACGCTGGTAGTCTGGATTTGTTTTCAATTTAATTTTTCAAACAATTTCACATTTTTCACGAAAATACTTCTCCACTTTTGATTTGGGTCATTCCATTATCATAATGACAAAACAGCTAAAGAAAGACTTGTTTTTTAAATAATGAATTTATAATCAATTTCTTTTAAACATCCTGCAAGATATGAAGGAAACAACAAACTGAGTTTAAAAAATTAAAAATAAAAGTCTGGATCATAACTTTTTTTTTTTTTTTTTTTTAACCTCAGGTCAGATTTGGTCATCCCCCATCACTTCTGCTATGTCCTGGTGCCAGATTCTTTTTGGGAGGCAATGTTTCTTGTCTTGACTGACAAGAGGTGCTGTCTCTGGTAGGATAAATTCTCTTCTTTATTTTCCTTCTTTTTTGTCTTTGAACTCTATCCCTCAATTTCATTTTTCTTTGTTGGTGTTCTTTCTTCCATTTGCTGTTCTGTCCCTCTCCTACTTCTCTTCATAGAGAGGGGGTATTTTGTCAGAAAGATCTGGGAAACTGTGCAGGCCCATGTTGGAGTCAGATGTGGCTGAAGCTTAATGCCTGCCTCTGGAAGCCTCTTTGAAAAGCAGAGCTTTAGTATTTCTTGTTAACACAACTGACCCTAGCCTAAGGAAATAAGCATTGCCAAAAATATTTTTAGACAGCAGGTTCTTCAACCTGTTGTAGAAACAAATTTGTGTTTAGGTTTTCAGCTGAAACAAATTGGTTTCAGAAGTGAAAATTCTGTGCAGTTACCTGGATAACACCGAACCATTCTTAAACTGCTTGTTGGGGAGGGTTATTATATAGAACTTTTAAAAACAGTTGCAAGTATGGGTGATATAAAAAGCCTGATTTCTTTTAGCTTATTGATAATAAAACAGCTAGTACTGTTGGATAAAGGATATTACTGTTGGCCAGTTTTCTTAGACTGTGTTTACCCTAGGAAATTGAAAGGGTAAGGTAAAATCCTTATGTATAAACAGTCAAGGAATTTGCATGAAGTAATTAGACAGATGGGAGAAAGCTGTTTAAGAGCATCAATATTAATATTGCAATTCTAAACCAACTTCTAAACAAATTCTGTACCTCCTCATACCAACTGAGTTATTCTCCAGATGCTTGATAGTGTGGCAGGAATGTGATGGCAGCTCCTGGCAGCAAACATCTGAGCACATGCCTGCAGTGGCATTAGAATTATTTGGAGACATCCTGGAGATGGCAGTGCTGTGAACTGCTGAAGCTGTGGTATTCTCTGGGTACCTGCTTTGAATGTCCTCACCGAAGCAGCAGTAGATCCTGTTAGTATGTAATCATGAAAGGATTTGTGTGATTGCCTTTAACTTGTCTTTGCTTCTGGATAAATAATTATAGCAAGAGAGGTTTATTGTTTCTGTATTTTTTTTGGCATAAAAAAACACACTAGTACATGTATGTATTAGCTGCGTGCTTAGTTTTCACCTGGAGTAAGTTTGAAACTGCTGGAAATCTTACTACATAAACATTCGATGGTTGGGCCTGCTTTTATAGTAGAAGGAAATTAGCTCTGAAGAAATCTGTGGTTTGGATGCAAGAGTTTGTCCGTGCTCAAGGTCCCATCATTTCACTTTCACTTCAACAAAGCACATGTATGACTTATTGCAACAATTTGCATGTGCTTTTAATACAGGCAGTAAAGATGAGGTGTGCTTTACACAAACGGTGTTAAGTATACTCTTGTTATGTGTGCATAAATATGCAAGCTGAGGTTGCCTCTACAAGTGGAAAATTTACACAGTGAGAAGCAGCTTGTGGTTCACTAGTGAAATCGGGTCTGCAAGAAAAGCTTCATGAGGGATAATAATGGTGGAACTTAGCTCGCAACTAGGCAAGCATAGGTTTACCACTGCAGTTTTGCAAAGTTTCTTAGGACTTTGCCTTCTCACCTTCCAAAAATAAGTCCATTATCTTCAGCACCCGAATTATTATTAGTATCATTTTTTCATGTGCTTCAAGTAGTCTTTTTCCATTTAAAGCCAGGTTTAGAGAGAATGAATTGAGGTGCGGAAAGAATTCAGGATGCCCTTTAATGCGGGTGCAGAAGTAAGATACAGATTGCACAGTTGTTGCTGTAATTATAAACTTTCCAATATAGATGAACATAACAAAACTCATGTAATATTAATTCCATACCTGTCCACTGCTGTTGTGTATGCTGCTCAGATGAAACAAAGATGTTAGCAAGTATGTTTGGATCTCTGGCTATGAAGATGGACGACTCTGTTGTTCCACCTGCAAATAGTGGCCAGTTTTTCTTTTGTGTAGACGTGCGCCTGCTGATTATATTAAATACTGTACAGGTTTTAAGAAGGTGCAGTGGAAGCTGTGCAACATGTCTTGATTCAGGAAGATGTCAAATAAGCATTTCAACACTCTTCTACCTTGTCCTTTTGATTTAGAAAACCTAATGTAAAGGTGAAGAGCCCATTTGCTCTTTTGACTGCAGAAAAAAAGAGGTGCCATGACCTGAAAAGTACCTTTCCCCAGATTGTTTTGGCGTAAGGCCTCTGGATTGCCAGGAGATATCTGACAGAATATGAAGTGTTCCTTATTCTGGAAGACTTTTGTGAGGACCTCAGGAAATAGCTTGATTTTGCTGTAGAAGAGTAGCTTTATTAGTGAAGAATGTTTTCAGGATAATTGGCTGTTATTAATCAAACTTAATGGCAGAGGTTGCTACAGGTTATGTTTTTGTGTCCAAGCTGCTGCCTGAAATTTATTTAGAAGCATAAGATCTGCTGGATGCAAACTCTTAATGTCATATTTTTAAAAAATAGTATAAATTGAGGACTACATAAGTTTTGGGGAGACAGAGGAGTTTAGTTTGATGATGCTACTGTCTGCAGTGTATCTGAGCCAGTTAGTACAATTCAGGGCTCTATTAGTGTTTTGTTCTTGGAAGCATTAAGAATTCAAGGAGTGTGACTATGGAGCAAAAGGAGTGGATTGTTGAGAATAATGTGTCAGAATAGACTTGTTTAGCCAAAAATTAAGTACTCTGGGCTGATACTGGTCAAGGTGCAGGACTCCTGACTCTGGCTTTGAGGAATGCTGCGATGTCATCTTTCAGGTGAGCAGATGATGATTACTTCTTGTAAGCAATTGTGTTAAGCATTTTCTTGATCTTCTTCAAAACATATTTTTCTTCTCTTAGTCCTTTTTCATTAATTAATGCTATTGGAAAAACAGACGCTTTTGTAGCTGTATAGTAAGCCACAACATCAAACATCGTTGTTGTGGAAGAAGATCCTGCCTGTGTGCTCCTTCAAGGTACTGAGCATCTGGAGATCTTGGCAGCATATAGCAATTGTAAATGTCCATACTGTCCTTCATTTGAAGGAGGGCCAACTGGGCGTGGCTCATCGGAAGGCCATGGCATGGGCGCTTCATGCAGAGCGTTGAATCAGGGAGTGCTAGCAAGGTGAGTCCTCCCCACTGTCCCCAGTGAGGACACCAGCTCACCAATTGGCTCCCTCCCAAGAGTACAAATCTAACTGTGGTCTCCAGAAGGCCAAAGGCTTTTGCCAGCATACTGTCAATCCAAACAGCCTGCCCAAAAATGTGTCAGTTCAGGTCTCCAGTTGCAGTGAGTACCTGAATCTGTCCCTGCTGGTAAAGGGTGGCAGGGATGCCACCTGTCTGAAGTGTGATCAGGGCAGTGATCTGCTCAGTATGGTGGTAGAACTCGAGGAGGAGGTGGAGAGGTTAAGAAACATCAGGGAATGTGAGCAGGAGGTAAATGTGTGCATCAACTCACTGCCATACCTGCAAGTAAGGCACAGGTGTGATATATACCACACAGTGGTGGACCCTCTGCCCTCTATCATTGGTAGAGGGAGGAGACCTAAGAGATGGGGTGGAATGGAAACAGGTCCCAGCTTCGTATCAAACAAGACAGACAAAACCTGTCCCTACCTACCTCCATGCCCCAAGTGACCCTGCATAATAGGTTTGAGGCTCTGAAACTTGAGGGAGAGGAAAGTGGGGATGCAATGGAAGGTCCACCCAGGAGGTTGTATGGGGTGAAGTGGCTGACTCCATACCTCAAGACTGCTTCTGCTAAGAAGGAAAGAAAAATTATTGTCATAGGTGACTCCCTTCTAAGGAGAACGGAAGGCATCATGTCAGCTAGACTGTACCTTTAGGGAAGAGTGCTGCCTCTCTGGAGCCTGAGTTGGGAACATTACTAGGAGACTCCCTAGTCATGTCCGTCTGTCTGATTGTTACCCCTTACTGATAGTTCAGGCTGGCAGTGGAGAAGTCATTGAGAGAAGCCTGAGGGCACTGGGGCTTTTTGTTGATGGAGAAGGAGTATTTTCCTCTATTCCTTCATTGGCAGCAAGGTATGCAGGGAGGACCAGGAAAACCCACCTGATAAATATGTGGCTGAGAGGCTGGTGCCATCGCAGGAATTTTAGCTTTTTTGACTGTGGGACTGTTTACTTGGTGTGTGATCTGATGGCTGCAGATGGGTCTCACTTGTCTCAGGGGGAAATGGAACCCTAGCAGAGCTGGCAGGGCTTGTTTGAAGCCCCCTCAACTAGGTGTGAAGGGGATGAAATAAGACTTGCTAGAGGTGAACCTGGAGGAACAATGCCAGGATTAGAGTGAGTCAAATGGCTGAGCTGTAGTGCATCGACACCAGTGCGCACAGCACAGTCAACAAACAGGAGGAGCTGGAAGCCATAGTGTGGCAAGCAAACTGTGACTTAGTTGCTGTTGCTGAAGCACAGTAGTATTGCTCCCATGACTGCAGTGTTGCTGTAAGCTCTTCAGAAGGGATAGGAAAGAAGAAGGGGCAGTGCTGTAGCTCTTAATGCCTTGTTTACATCTGTTTTTAACAGTCAGAGCAGTTATCCTCATGGTACTGTACCCCCTTACCTCAGAGTCTGGGATGGGGAGTAGAATAACAATCCCATTCCCACTCCTCTCTGTGATTAAGGCGGAAACAGAGACCTACACTGCTCCACCTGTCACAAGTCTATGGAGCCAGATGGGATCCACCTGAAAGTGCTGAGAGAGCTGGTGGATATGATTGCCAGGCTGCTTTCCACCATCTATCTGTCAGTATTTCTGGTCAACCAGAGAGGTCCCAGAGGGCTGGACGTTTTCAGCAAGTGTGACTCCCGTGACTCCCATCTACATGAAGGGTTGTAAGGAGGGTCAAGGGAACTGCAGGCCGGTCATCCTATCCTTAGTGCTAGGGAAGGTTATGGAGCATCTCAATTGAGATCATCTGGTCTGTGTGGGTCAGCTGGAGTATCAGAGCCAGCCAGTATGAGTTTATGAAAGGCAAATCCTGATTGACCAATTTAA